AGAAGAGTTGAGATTAAAAAGTTACTTTTTATTCTGATAGTCATAAAATACTGGGAAATAAAAATTCTTTTACCCAAAACTCTAATCATGTTATTACGGTTTTTCAAATTCTCATAAGTATTGGTAATTTGCCATCACAATAGTTAAAATAAATTCTTATTTATTCCCTGGTTGACTTGGCATACTATTGGTTTCCTGATAAAGGAAGTAAAAAGGCCCATATGCTTGGGAGAACAATCAAAGGCCTTAGAGTCAAACTGAACTGGGTTCAAATCCGGATTCATTCCCTTCGATCTGGAGCAAGTCCTCTAACTTCTGATTATTTCCACATTTTTGAAATGGTGATAACTTCACAGGGTGTTATGAAGATCATATGATAAAATAGACAGAAAAGGCTGAGCTCAGTTTCTATGTTATTCCTAAACTACCCACAGGGTGGGCCATCTTTTCAGCCTAAAACTTCCCTGGATGAGCAGGCAAGAGCTTTACTGAGCAGTTGAGTCCCTGTGGGTCTCACGGAGATGGGCTGAGGGTGGAGGACATAGGCAGAGCAGGCCTAAAAAGAGTCAAAGATTGAAATCCTATTCATAAAACCAGGTATTTAGTAACTCTTTAGAAAAGATGACAATGGCCTTTACTGATAAAAATTTATGTTTCTAAAATGAAACAACCACTGGTAAAAAAAGTGAGTTCGGTAAATAGGCGACTTTCTTCCCTGCAATAAATGCATCACATAAAATACCATAAACACTAGGAAAATCATTGATCTCCATGAAACAAGCAGACAAATAGCAATTATTCAGCATAATTCTAATCAGCCATTATAATTCTTTCCATGTGGACCATCTATATAAATCTCTGTAATAGGTTTCTATGGGTACCATAACATATTACCACAAATTTAGTGGCTTAAAACAACACAAATTGAGGGGTGCTAGGGTAATGCCGTTGGTTAGGCATCCCACTCTTGGTTTCAGCTCAGGTCATGATCTCAGGGACCTGGGATCAAGCCCCACATTGGGCTCTGTGCTCAGCACAGAGTCTGCTTGGGATTCCCCCTGCCCCTCCCACTCATGCTCTCTCTCTCTCTCTCTCTCTCTGAAATAAAATACATCTTTTTTAAAAAACACACAAATTGATTATTTTATAGTTCTGTAGGTTAGAAGTCCAATAACGAGTGCACTGGGCTAAAATCAAGGTGTTAATAGGGCCATACTCTTTCTGCGGGTTCTAGGGGAGAGTTTGTTTCTTTGCCTTCTCCAGTTGCTTACAGCCCCTTCTGCCATCTTCATAGCCCGCAACAAGAGGCATTCCTTCTTACATTACATCACTCTGACTTCCTCTTCTGCCTCCCTCTTCCACTTTTAAGGATCTTTGTGACTACACGGGGCCTACCCAGATAATCCACTGATTTTAAAGTCAACTGATTAGTAATACTTAATTCCACGTACAACCTAATTCCTCCTTGCCAGGTAACCCCACATAGTCACAGGTTCTGGGAATTAGTAAGCATTATTCTACCTACCATAATCTCTAAGGAAGATCACCTCTGAATCATATACTATTAATCTCTGGCTGTAAATAATATACTGCAACTCACACATACCTTATTCATTCTCTTCCAACGATTCAAAAACAGTGGAGTTCTTCCAGCAACTTTAGCAAAGGTGTTTCCATTTGATTTAACAAGAGCAGAAAGAGACAATGCTCTGACAGTAAGAGTTACAGAACCAAAATCATTCCTGTTTATACTAGGCAGTGGAATTTTATTTTCTCTGATATCAGGCTTCCTTTGGCTACAGGAAAAATAAGGTATCAAAATTTAATATCCATGTTAACAAACCATAAATGGCTGTCTTCACACACCCCTGTAATCTACCATACTATTCAGTCCTTTTTGCATTTAGAACTTGCTATATTGCCAAAGAGAAAAATATATGTTGTGTTAGCAATAAGTCAGAGTGATGAATTAGAAAGTGAAGCATAGTGTGGTTGGGATCTGAAAGCACAGAAACTGTGGGTTGAATCTTTTTCTTAATAGACTCATCTAAACAGAATATTTATGATTTCAAGCCTAAATACCACTACACATAAAAATATTTGATTGCAAAAAATAAAAAATAAATACGTGCTTGCTTAACTTCATTAGAAAAATGAAAATTATGTAGAATGTCACTCCCCAAGAACATTTTAGAGAACTATTGTTAAAGTTTTATGTAAGTGCGTTGTCTAGATCAAGAGATGTAGATTAAAGGGGTCTGGAGCCCAGGCAGGTCACAGAAATAAGGGGGGGAGGCCAGGTGGGCACTGGGTATACTGGTGCCTTTGGTGCCCCATCTGAAGAGGTCAATCACCACTCAGCTCTAACAGCTGCTTTTTGGTTCATAAGATTGTCTGACATTTTTATAATTCAGAAAATATAACTTTTATGTGGAAACATTCATATTTTCAAGACTGGCAACGTAACACTATACTGCAATCCCTTGACAGAGCAATAAAACAAAAGCCATGGACCAAATTTAGCTAACCAGCCAGTAGTTTGCACCTCTGAATCTAGATCAGCCAATCCTTGGTAACTACCTGATATTTTACTTGATAAAATCAAGAGTGGTATAATTTATTGTCTAATTGGATGCAAACATCAAAACCTAGAAGAAAAATGTGCGTATACAGATAAGGTAAAGAGCCTTAGCATGCACCTAAGGGGTTCTTTATTCCTTATTGGGAATCAATTATGCCTTATGTTTTGTTTTTTTTTTTTAAGATTTTATTTATTTATCTGTCAGAGAGGGGAGAAGAGAGAGCGTCCAAGCAGGGGGAGCTGCAGACAGAGGGAGAAGCAGACTCCCCACTGAGCAAGGAGCCGGATGCAGGACTCGATCCCAGGACCCTGGGATCATGACCCGAGCCAAAGGCAGACGCCCAACCAACTGAGCCACCCAGGCATCCCATGCCTTATGTTTTGTTATGGCCCCAGCACATAGCATAGTATCTGTCACAAAATAGGCTTTAAGTAAATATTTGTTTAATTAATGAATAACTGAACTTTAAAGAAAATTTTGATTACTCGGAGGCTTATACTCATACTTGTTAACATAAAGGAATAGTGACCTAGCCTTAAAATGTGGGGTTGGCTTAGAAAGCAAGAACCCTTGGGGTGCCTGTGTGGCTCAGTTGGGCATTGGACTCTTGATTTCAACTCAGGTCATGATCTCGGGTTCATGAGATTAAGCCCCGTGTTGGGCTCCACACTCAGCATGGAGCCTGCTTGGGATTCTCTCTCTCCCTCTTCCTCTGCCCTTCCCCCCACCTCATGTGCATGCACATGCATGCGCATGCTCTCTCAAAAAAGAAAAAAAAGAAAGAAAAGTAAGAACCCTTAATATTTTCCATATTATCAAAAGATATATATATATATTCTAACAATTGTTATGTTGCACTGACCAATAAGATCTTTTATAATATAATGGGGCAAAGCCAGACTTTAACTTGAAACTATAATGTAACAACAACCCAAATCAAGTATTTGTATGGTATTTTTATGTTACAAAGTGCTTTCAATATGTGGTTTCTCCTATCACCAGAACATTTCACTAAGGTAGACGGATATTATCTTCATTTTAAAGATAGAAAACTTGAACTACAAAGGAAGCTAAGTGATTTTATAAAGACTTGCAGAAAATTAGCTATAGAACTGAACTTAATCTTTCAGCCCATGATCATTCTCTCCTGATAAGGAGACAACATGGGGTGTGACAATAAAGCATAGAATCAGATGAATTAAATATGTGCAATGGCACCTTCATAAACAGGTTGGGAAGGAAATTACCTCTGTGTGGCACAGAAGAGGAAGGCAAGAATGTGCATAGAAGGAAAGTATAACATTTTTCAAGATGGTGTGTAGACATCAGGATACCTTATTCATCATGACACCAGTTGCATGTTGGTTAAATCATTCAGCAAAATGAGACAGATCAGCTTGACCTGTATTGTTTCACTTAGAAACACATTGCTCTGTAATATTTTCATTTCCTATATATATTTGTCTACCCTACTAGAGTGGAAATGTCATGAAGGCCAGAGGCTAAGACATATTAAGAGTTCTTAGGCACTCTACCCAGAAGAAATTAATTGAATGCTTTGATTGGTTAATGGGAAACATAAACATTGATGATAGTGGAGCATAATGCTTAAGGACACAGGACTTGAAGTCAGTAGATCTGTGTCTGAAACCATGTTTCATCAATGTCTAGCTGTGCAAATTTGGGTGAGTCACTCCACCTCTACGAGTCACATTGTCATCTGTAAAGAGGGTGACAGTGATGAAACTGAACCATAAGTTTGCAGTGAGAATTAAATAAGTTAATGTTTGTAAAAACCAGCAGGATAGTGGGTACCCGACATACACTCAATAAATGTTTCACTATTGCAACAGACTGAAGTTTCAAGTTAGGCAAAGTGCTGGAGCTACATGCTGATCTCTGTAGTTTTGAAGAAGGAACATTTGGTTGGTTCTCAAAAACAAAGTTAGACGCTGAGAGAACATCTTTTAAAGTGACCCAAAATGGGGACGCCTGGGTGGCTCAGTTGGTTAAGCGTCTGCCTTTGGCTCAGGTCATGATCCCAGGGTCCTGGGATGGAGTCCCGCATCAGGCTCCCTGCTCTGCGAGGAGCCTGCTTCTCCCTCTGTCTCTGCCTCTCTCTCTCTCATGAATAAATAAATAAAATCTTTAAAAAAAAAAAAGTGACCCAAAATGTATCTTTAAAACAAACTTTTAATTTATTCCACATGCCATCTGGAATATAGTAATACAACAAAGACGAGAAAGGCCCCGAGGCAGCGTGCCTTACCATCCGTACACAGGATTACAAACAGAACCAGTTTGCAGACACAAGCTCACTGACGGAGCAAACCGGGTGGCATGTCATGTTTATGGAGGACTGAACACCTGAGATTTGGCTGGCCATGGGGGAGCCATTCCAAATAAGGAACAGGTGCAGTACTATTTGGAGTAATTTTCCTTGTTTCTAGAAAGAAACAGATATTTCACAAATTTATTATCTTATCAAAGTCCAGCCACTTTTTTTTTTCCAGTGTGTACTTGTGCTTAGCTCTTTCATTGTGCAAGGTATGTTTTCAGACCCTAATTGCTCCTATGCACAGGCCAAAGGAATGCAGTGGTAGAAGTACATTAAAATGAGGAAGAGGACTGCTAATTTCTTAAAAGGGAAATGACACATATGGAATGATCTCTATCATACCCAGAGCGATATTTTTATGAGAGAAAACTAGAGCCAAGCAATTGAAACGTTTTCTACCCAAAAGTAGCAGGAAAAAAATGAACAATCAAAGAGCAAGTACCACACGACAATTCAGAAGAGAATTTAATGCCAAAAGAAGGTAATAAACTACTCCACTGACACTTCTCCTTTTGTGTCTTTACTATTTATAGAATCCAATTCATGCAACCTGAAAACCTCTGTGAAGTAACACTTTGAACCCCGAATTTTCAGTTCTGGGGCTCAAGCAGAGGAATGCCAGCCAAGCTCGCCTAACACAACCAGAGGGACCAACTCTTCGAAGTCACAGATGTTGACTCAGAGAACATCCTCGGTTTCTCCTCTGCTTCCCTGCGGGTCCGGGTTAAATTCCAAGGGCCTGGGAGACTCCACCATTGCAATCTCCTCTCCCAGCCTCGCGTTCCCTTCCTTGGTCTCCTCGTGGATCGTGCGTGGCAGGCAGTCCTGCTCCGAATTACTCCAGACATAGCCGGGTAAAGTCACGTGGCTGTCGAGCTGGCGGCCGGCCGTCCTGGTGGTTTTGCCTGCGATGAGCACCAAGCGAGCGCTGGCTGCCCCCTGCGACTGGCTGCTGGTGCTGTGGGTGAACGTGGTGAGCACGGAGCCGTATCTGTGGCCGCCGCAGGGGGGCGTCCTTTTCCAGTCGATGGAGAGATTCCACCGACTCCACAACTTCTTCACCTCAGCCTGAACCTAAGTCGCAGGAAACACTGTGCGTCAGAAACCATCAGGGAGACCCTGCAGCCTTGTTACATGGACCTTTGCCCTTCAGTGATGGTGATCACTGAGTTTCCACTGTGTGCCAGCGACTTGATGTGCATACTCTCTCTCAACCTTGAAAAATCTTGGAGATAGGTATCCTACCAGAGATTAATAAACGGAGGCTTTGAGAGAGCTGAAGGACTGATCCAAGATTAGCATTTTAATATAATGTGAAATGCAGCCCATAGAAACATCTGACTTGGGGCGCCTGGGTGGCTGGGTCCGTTAAGCATCAGACTCTTGATTTCGGCTCAGGTCATGATCTCAGGGTCCTGGGATAGAGCCCCCTGGTGGCTGGGCGCTCAGCCGGGAATCTGGGGATTCTCTCCCTCTTCCTCTGCCCCTACCTCCACCCTGCTCGCGATCCATCTGTCTCTCTCAAATAAATAAATCTTTTTTAAAAAGAAAGAAAGATCTGACTTGTGGGAGAGGGAAAAGAGGATTATGGGTTGGAAGAGAAGGAGAGATAAATAGTGCCAGCCCGCTGAAGAATGGCATGGAAGGTGCTCAACCTGAAATGTAATACTATCACTTTTGCATAGGCGGACTGAAGGAGGAAAAAAATGGGGAAGAAGCTTATACATGAAAAGCAGGCACTGCAAATGCATTACTAATGGGGTAGGATTCTTGCTTCCAACCTGTGGTTGAAGATTCAATTCTACTGCTATTGCCATTTACCAAAAAGGAGCTTATCTGGAAGTTCCATGGAAAACAGTGGAAATCTGGTATGCTGGTGTGACCTAAAAGAACAGTAGGGCTACTTCTCTCCAGCCAACCCCTAAATGAACTGAAAGCGTCCTGTCATCATTGTATAGTTTTGGAAAATATCAAAATATTCTTTCTTGGGCGCCTGGGTGGCTCAGATGGTTAAGCGTCTGCCTTCGGCTCAGGTCATGATCCCAGGGTCCTGGGATCGAGTCCCGCATCGGGCTCCCTGCTAGGCGGGGAGCCTGCTTCTCCCTCTGCCTCTGTGTCTCTCTCTCTCTCTCTGACTCTCATGAATAAATAAATAAAATATTAAAAAAAAAACTTCTTTCTTATCCCAAGACAACTTTTTTTTAGTTTCTTAGAGAACTTGAAATTGAATATCAGTTTAAGTATTGACTGGAATATGGAATTCACTGTCCTTCCAAGTATCAATTTACATTCCAACAAGTTGGTTTTTTGCTATCAGAGTTTCCAACTGAATCAACATTGAAAAGTGCTAGAAGAGAAAGACTCTAGCCTATTTATATTAATTCTTGCTCTCTCAAAATCATGTATGATTGAAATATCTCCTTTCTCCCTGCTCATTTTTTCCTGTAATTCCTGGGGATCCTAAAGAGATTCAGGTCACACCGCGATGACCATTTACAAGCTTACTCGCAGCTAGAGCTGTGGGATGTCCGGGGGGGTTCTTCAAACCTACCTCCCCGTTGCAGTAGCAGTAGATGATAGACACAAAGAATCCCTGGGGAACAAAAGAGAAAGTTAGCATGCTGACAACTCAAGAAGGTCACAGCACTGAAGTGTCTTATATCACAATACATACATTGCAAAACTGGGTTGTGTTATGCTTCCTTCAGAAAATTATATGAACTATTCTCTCCTGGTGTTTCCAAATCTTTAAGTTTATATTTTTCTGAGATCCTTCTTTGGTGTCAGCTGAACCAAACAAGTAACTGAATAAAACACTCCAAGACACACAAATAACTGATTTCTTATCAGCTTATATTAGCTTCATTTATGTTTTCACTCAAGGATCACAGAATATTCCCTGGTTGGTAAGAGATATTTATACACTGTGAATGCTGGAAACTACAGACCTAGGCTATTATATGGTAAAAAGACAAAGAAACTTTTTGTTTCACTCATTCAAAAATATTTATTGAGCTTCTACAGGGCAAACTGCTCAGCATGCCAGGGATAAACAATTCAATCAAGACAGACAAGGTCCCTGTTCCCTTAGTCTACATTCTAGAAGGAAATACAGATGATGGATAAAATATAAACAACTAGCCACACTAGAAAAATGTAAGATAATAAGGGTTATGCAGGCCAAACAAGTGGTATGAAAGAGAAGAATGGAGAAGATACATTGAATGAAGACTGAGTTGAAGAGATGACCATTTAAGCTGGTTTGAGTGAAAAGAAGCCAGGCCTTGTGAATATTAGCGGGGAGCGCCTTCCAGACTACTAAGGGAACTGTAAGTCCAAGCCCCTGAGGCAAGAATGAGCTCGAGGGACACTAGTGGGGCTCAAACTTAGCCGGCAACCGGGAACATGATGGCACTCGACATCACAGCTGGACAGGATCCCGGCCACAGGGGGCTGGGCATACCAGCAAATGGCATTTGGATTTTATTCTGAGTGCAGTGGGAAACCTCTGGGTACTTCTGGTAGATAAGGGACATGACCATATTTATTTTTAAGATCCTTCAGACCCTTGTATGGAGACTAGATTTAAGGCAGCCATGGGAGGCGGCAAGCGAGTGGCCAGGAGGAGAAGATAGGTGTCTGCAGAGAGCCAAGTGAGGGGTGATGGTAATCATATTTTCAAATGAGATAAAATGGGTAGAAGCTACCTTTTCTTCTTTGTTGTCTTCCTTTCCCTTTTTCCCCCCTCTCCCCTGTCTGCTTTTTCTTTGGCTTTCGTTTACTTTCCATAGACACGCGCTGCTCTGTACGTGTTACATATTCTACAACAAAATGCTTTCTTGTCTCGCTGCCCAGGCATGTTTGTGAGAAGCAGCTCCTGCTATGGCCAGAGGTTAAAAGCACAGGGTCCAGAGAGTATTGCCTTTTCATGGCCCTCTGGGGACAGGTCCATGAAAGCCAGACAGAGGGGCAGAGAACAAAGTTGCAAGGGGAGGGGGAATAAAAGCAGAATGCAAGAACCACATTACTAGCTGGCGCTGTCTACCTGAAAGGAATTGAAGAAGAGCTCACAGTGCATCCGGACCTGCCAGCCCAGCCCCGTGAAGGAATGGGGCAGGCACAGGAACACGATGTAGTGCACTCCAAAGACCAGCACGAGGACCAGGGTTGATTTGGCCAGTTTCCTGAAAGAGAATACCAAGCCTTTTTATTCATCAACTTCGAGTGCCTGTCAGCAGAGACAGCTTGCTGGGAAAAAAGCGAAGCTTAGCAGAGCTAACAGGGGCTGCATTTTTTTCCATCTCTTTGGACCCCATGGCTCCTGCTAGCTTCCCCCCCCCTTCTTCCTGTCCTTTTATACTAAATCAAGTAATTTATTCTCATTTCCCATGATTATTGTACCTTAAATCTTTTTTTTTTTAAGATTTTATTTATTTATTTGAGAGACAGAGAATGAGAGAGAGAGAGCATGAGAGTGGGGAGGGCCAGAGGGAGAAGCAGACTCCTTGCTGAGCAGGGAGCCCGATGCGGGACTCAATCCTGGGACTCCAGGATCATGACCTGAGCCGAAGGCAGTCACTTAACTAACTGAGCCACCCAGGTGCCCCATACCTTAAATCTTTCTAATCTCATTTCCACTCTCCTGGCATAGGATACTATTTTCATAAAGCCATGAAATGCCCTTTTTTCTGTCCTAAATTTATTTTAACATGTATGTTTGAGACTTAAAACAAGTATTACCTCAATCCATGTTAACTGTCTTTACTTTCATAGGCCACATTTTGGCTTGTTTTGTTCATTTTAAAATGAACTACTCCCTAGTCTCTTCTTACAGTTGGATCTGCATTAACCATTTTGTATTTTCTTATGAACTTCATGTGGCCAATACTTTCTACTTTCTCTAAATATCCTCTGTCAAATATTCTACAAAATACCTATACTTCTAGGTTTTGTGCTTTTTTTTTTTTTTTGCAAGCTAAGCAATTTGACTTTATTTCCCTTAACTACCTCTTCATATACATTTTCTTGTGTAACTGGAGGAACCCCGGGTTTCTAAGATGATTGATTCTAAAATGGCCCCCAATGATCCCCCACCTGGTATTTACATTCTTGTTAATCCTCTCCCCTTGAGTGCGGGCAAAGACCTGGACCTTGCTTCTAACTGATCAATTACAGCCAAAATGATGGGATGTCACTTCTGTGATTACATTTCATAAGAGTGTAACTTTCATTTTACTAGCAAACTCTCTCCTTTGTTTGGTTCGAGGAAGCAAGTTAACCATGTGGTGAGCTAGTGGGAGAGATGACAAGGAGAGGGGACACTGGCCACCAGCCAGCAAGAAACTGAACTCTGTCAACAATCTCATAAACTTGGAAGTGGATTCTTCCCCAGTCTTAGGATAAGACTGCAGTCCTGACTGCCATATCAGTTGAGCCTCGTAAGAGATCCTAAAGCAGGAGGCCCAGCTAAACCGTGCCCAGGTTCCTGACCTACAGAAACAGTTAAATGGCGAGTGTGTTGTTTTAAGCCACAGATGTTTGCGGTAATCCATTTGCACAGCAGATAGCTAGTACATCCAAGCACACCATGTGTTCTTTTGTACTTTTTATCCAAGAAGCTGTCAAATCTGGCTGATTCTTTCTTATTTCTCAAATATTCCCTTCTTTACAAATCATTTATACCTCAGTAATCTCAATTGCAACCTTCTCCCTTTCTTACTGGTCTTACTTCCAGCTACTTTTCTTCCTTCCTTCCTACCTTCCTTCCTTCCTTCCTTATTTATGTACTTACTTATATACTTAGTTCTCTTCTTGGAAATAAGCTGTGTGGGTAAAGCTAAACAGAAATGGATTCGGGTTCTAGATTTGCCAGTGACTCCCTGAGTGATTGTAATTCAGTTTTCTTTTTTCTAAAATGAGGGAACAGGGCCTAGAAGTTTATAAGAGCTCTCACAGTCTAACGCTTTCCTAGGGAGGATCATCTTCCAGACACATCCATTTTCCTATTATAACCATCTTTCCAGCTCCTACAGGAGCTGGGTGTCCCACAGAATCATATTGAAATGCCTAATTTAGGCATTTGGAGTTGCACACCTACCCCATCTCATTCTCCTCTGCCTCTCGTATCTCTCAGTAGTGCCCTGACCATCTGCTCCTCTTGGCTCAGAGCCATCTGCTCTGCCTCACACCCATAGCTTCCCTGGTGGCCTATGGGCTTTCTCCTATGCTGCTCTAGTCCCACACCTCCTACCTTGACTCACCTATAGTCTACTTAATTTGAAAATTCGACCTTAAGTCTGTTTCATTCAAGGCAGCATCCCTGATAAGACAATGGATTTCTCTGACCTAACTCATCCTTTCAACTTCCAGAGGCTCCTTGGGATACGCTTGTCCTCTTGAATTCTGACTAGTGGCTACCCTCTTCCCATCACTGCATATATGAGCAAGACACTGTGAGTACCTTCATGATACTGTAATTCAGTCTAATCAGATAAAGGGGGACAGCATTAACTACACTTGCAGAACTTTAGAAGTCTTGGTTAACAGCACTCTGAAAAGAAAATTTCTTTTGTCTTTCCTCCTTTAAGATGAATGGATAAATCCCCCTGGGGACTATTCTCAAAATCAAGCTAACTTTGATTGTTCCTATTGTGTGTGACTAGGAGCCAAAAACTAGGTTAAAAGAAAAAGAAAGAAAGAAAGAAAAGGAAAAAAAAAAAGAAAGAAAGGGAAAGAGAGAGAGAAGGAGGAAGGAAGGAGGAAGAAAGAAAGAAAGAAAGAAAGAAAGAAAGAAAGAAAGAAAGAAAGAAAGAAAGAAAAGGAAAGAAAGAGAAAGAGAGAAAGGGAAAGAGAGAGAGAAGGAGGGAGGAGGGAAGGGAGGAAGGAGAAAGAAAAAGAAAGAAAGAAAAGAAAGAAAGAAAGAAAGAAAGAAAGAAAGAAAGAGAAAGAAAGGGAGGGAGGGAGGAAGGGAGTGAGGGAGGAAGGGGAGAGAGGGAGAAAGAATACAACACATTGTGAAACGATCACAAATGTAAAAGTTCAGGGACAGTTTAGATCAATGCAGAGTAAGAAAAAGCTGTCAGATTAAATTTAGTGGGAATCGTGCTAGCTCAGCCATCTGGGTTTTCTCTCTCTCTTTATCTATGATTAGGCTCTTTTACAACTCTGTAGAGATAGAAGTTAATTTGTAGAAAACCAGATAGTAATTGAATTCATTTTCTATTGCTATGAAACAAATTACCACAGTTAGTGGCTTAAACCAATATCCATTTAGTCTCTCTCAGTTTCGGAGAGGTCCTAGCCATAGGTCCCTCAGGTCTTAATCACAGACCTTCACAACATGTCAGATTACTTCTTCAAAGCCCGCAGGAGGATCTCTCTCCAGGCTGCCTGTCACAGGAGTGACTACCCCATCACCTTTCCAATATAACGTAACCTAATCAAGGGAGAGACTATCCCATCATAGGTCTTGCTCAAGAAGGTACGCGGGGGATGAGGATTATATAGGGCATGTACACCAGGAAGGTAGTAATCTTGGAGGTTGCATCTTAGAAATCTGCCTACCACAGCAGTGCAAATCATTTCTGTCCATAGAAATGCAAATTGTGTCCAATGGAATGCCACTAATTATACGCTGTGGATGTTAACAATTTGCTAATTTGCATCCATTTGTAAATTCATTTTAGCATTCATAATTCTCTTTTAAGCATGTGTAATGCCTTACCAGTTCCTTCATTAATGAGTGAAATAAAATCTTTGAGGTGTGTTCATTTATATTTGTGTAAGAGTTACGATTACATCCTCTTTTAAAATGTATCCTTCAATGACAGTGAATAAGTTGAAGTAGTGGCATATGCTGGGCCAATGGATACATGGGTCATCTGTCTGTCAGTTCACTCATAAAGATGGATTTTTCCATTCACATCGAATCATGCAGCCATCCTGGGCACTGATTTGCTCAGCATCCATCTGGTCACTCATGCACACTGTACATCTTTGCAGCCCGGCTCTCTGAAAAGGCACAGCTGTCTGATGAGATGATCAGGGGTGTACCAGCTGAAAGTGGCCTTCTGGCTTGCTGGAGACATGGTGGTGGCTCTGCGTCCAAGGGCAAAGCCATGGGAGGAATATAAAGGAATCAAATGGTGTGTGGGACTCAGCGTCCTACTTAGAAAATAGATACCCAATTCTTGCAATATGTCTCTCCCCAGGTGAAAAGTGCTGGGAAATCGCTACCTTTAAGAGTCAACTTAGCTTTTTAAAAAAGTAGTATTTCCCCTAAGCCTTTTTCAATCCCTCTTGATCTTGAATTACTCTTTCCCTTTCTTCTATACACGTAACGCTTTGTAAGTGCTTCTCTACTGGCATTGTCCTCACTTTAATTAAATCAGTATCTCTCTCTCTCTCTCAAATTTTCTTCGCAGGCAGAAACCATGTCTTCTTAACTTTGAATCTCTTGCATGGCACAAGAAGGGCACTCAGTCAGTGAAGCTGTTGGCTATCATGCCCCTGTCACATCCTATACTGGTTGCCTCCTTTTATTCTGCCAACCATGTGAGAGAGCCATTATTTTCCTACGTCCAGATGAGGATAGAGGCTCAGGAAAGGAAAGGATTCACCCAAAGCTAGACAATTAGTAGACAATTCAACCTTAAAATCTGTCCTCTTTACTATGATATTGCATAACAAACACTGGTTGAATTTATTCCAAAAATAAAAAATAATAAATATAATTTTTGTCTAATATTGAATGGAAAGTCAAATTAGCCAAAACACTCAAGTGTTCTTTTCCACTGAATTTTGCATTTTTCATATCTCATGTTCTTCCAGTCCTGGCAATCTTCTCTTACTTTGCAAGGGGACTGGGTTGTAATTTAAAAGACAAAATAATGCATTAGTCCTGTTGTTAAATCTGATAGATTATTTAATTTTCTACACAATCTCTGTGTGTTTAAAAATCCTTTTTGTTTTAAAATTACTGATGTGAACTACAGTTATGTAGAATGTCACTTTCGAGGGAAACTGGGTAAAGGGTATATATTTTATATATTACATATATATGTATTATTTTTACAACTCTGTATTACTTGTATGTTTTATTTTATCTCTGTATTACTTTTATAACTGCATATAACTCTGCAGTTATCTCAAAATAAACAATTTCTTAAAAGCTGATCGTATTAATTCATTTCAGTCTTTTTTTAAAAGACTTTATTTATTTATTTGAGTGAGAGAGCAAGAGAGAGCCGGAACAGTGGGGAGGAGCAGAGGGAGAGGAAGAAGCAGACTCCCTGCTGAGCAGGGAGCCTGACATAGGGCTTGATCCCAGGACCTTGAGATCATGACCTGAGTTGAAGGCAATTCATTTCAGTTTTAAACCACTATATCAGTGAAGGGATACCATGTACTTTTCTAAAGTCTTTCTTTGTGTATGTGTGCATGCTCACCGGGAGAGACTATCTCAGCTTTGAAAGATGTTTTCAGTCTTTCAGAGAGTTATATGCATGAGAATGTGTTTAAAAACTGTTTTAGATGCCACCATTTGGAAATATAAATATAATATACATATATTTTTTCGTTGTTAGCAAGAATATTTGATATTTGAACATTTGTTTGACAAAGGTAATAACCAAATGAAATATAAGTTTAAAGGTACAAAAACATGAGTGGGTGTAAATTGAACCTCATAGATAGAATTTCACCGGGACAAAGACACAAATTACATTTTTCTAGGTCTATTTACAAAGTAAGAAGGTATTTAAATTTGGTAATCTAAGGCCTCAGAAACTAAATACTGAATTGAATTCCCAAATCACTGCCAAGTAAGTACCCACATTTTTCTCTCCAAAAAGAAAGAGAGTTATTCCTCACCATAGTTTTATCTGTAGCGTAACTTCGGACATTAGTAAGAATACTGTTTCAGCTATTTAAAAAAAAAATGTATTTGACTGGAAAATACTTTCCATGACTACTATTAGTCTAGACCCTGTTCAAATTAATGGCTCCAAAATTTAAAAACTTCCAGGCCGAGATTATTTAAAATTTATTCTGAATTATGAATAGTAGATTATTTTAATCCTTGATAAATGTTTCTCTTCCATTATTTTGAGAAATAATCTCCTATGAATGAACTCAAAATATTGTCTAGTCTATTTTTTAAGATAATTCACCCTTTGTTCTCTCCAGAGTTTCTCAAATCTCTTGGGCAACTTTTAACTGAAAGTACAAGTTCACATCATTCAGAACTAGAGAAATAAGGAGCTTTTATTCAGGGCTAGAGAAATAAACAGCTTTCAAAAACCTTTGTACTGTTCCACTTTACAGAGAAGAATGGAAAGCTATTTATATTTTCCATTGTTCTATCATCCTTTGGCCTTTGTCTTCATCAGTGGGATGCAACATGAGACATGCTATGAGTATAGCATGGCCCTTCACTGGAAACTCTTAAGCACAATTTACTTTATAACACGACTGCTTGCAGCACATTACAAATGACTGGAGCCTACAGCTGCTGGTTTGTTCATACTGTGCATCCTATTCCAGACTCCAGTCCATACCCATCATCTTTTCTGCCTGACAGAGAATGTTGCCTAAACAGTAGAGGGAAATGACTCAACAAAGGGTTTCGAGAACATTTGTGACACAGGACCAAAATGCTGACTATGGTTTCTTCCTTTCTGTGTCTCAGATAGCATTTCATAACAATCCAAGACAAAAAGAAATAGTTATTGCCTTGGGATTATAAAGATCAATCTAAATCCACCAGACTAATGGATGTGTATATCCAGTTAGGTAGAGGCTGCTATTATCCAGAACTCCCAAAATGATCATTGGAAAAAGTTGGCACACCCTTAAGATAGTTTGATAATGATCAAAAACTCTCAATTTGCCCTTTTCTTCTTGGAAGACTGAATAATGGACCTCACTCAATCAGTACCTTGGAAAGCTCTTAAAAATTTATATTCGGTAGGGGCCAGTCTGATGGACAGATTGGAAACAATACAGCAAACTCACTTTCTTGATATTTTCAGTCATGAAGATATTATTTTAAGAATGCAGATAAAATTGTCTGCCAAGATCATCAACAAGAGATTTTCTAGGAAGTCACACAGTTTATGGGAAAATTCCAATATGCTAATAACAGATAAAAAAATTATATTAACTAATACTTAAAATTTAAGCACATTAAAGGTTTTGGGTTATTTATATTTTCCTAAAATACATATACTTTTCTGGTAAATTGCACAGTTAAACCAAATGAAAAGTCATATTCATAGATTTCTCTCTCAGAGACATTTCAGATCAATCAATATCTGTTCTTTACTCTAAATAGTAACCCAAATATTTCCTCTGGTGGGTGCCTGTCCTGCAATTACCTGTACTGTTTTCTTGTGTCATGCCCAACTGCATTGGTCTCCCAGATTTTGGTAGCCAGAACTCTAACGGTATTCAGAAACAGAATAAAATTGAGCTGAAAGAGAAGGTAATATTACAAAGCATTATTAAGGTAGCCTTCAAGATCTTTATAAAAATTTATATAAATTGAACTTCTTTGTATTCAAAAACTGAAAATTACCTATTCCACAAATGTGAATGAGGGGCTCTGAGATAAGGTATTGGACAGCTAGTGATTCTTGAGTTGCCCTCATGAAAACATAGAGATAAAAAGTTTCAACAGCGCTGGAAACTAGAAATACCAAGGGATGATCTGCCAGAATCCATGGGGAATTTCCAAACCAAAGTTCAGATAAAGTCCTGTGGCAGACTGGCAGGATAAAGGATAATACTTATTTTATAAATATAACCAACTCCCCTTTTTGAAATGAACTCCCAGCTTCTGTATCTATTTTAGGGAGAGGAACAATAGAGTTGTTTGGGGGACGCTGTCTCTCTTATGACATATGAAAAGTATTGAGTGAAGTATAAGGTTTTTTTTGAAAAAGCAAGTGGTGGGAGGAGATGGGTGAAATAGATACAGGGGATTAAGAACACACTTATCTTGATGAGCACTGAGTAACATAAGAATTGTTAAACCATTATGTTGTACACCTGAAACTAATATTAACACTGTATGTTAATTATACTTCAATTAAAAAAAAAATTTTTAAACACTTCTCAGATATATACACACACAAACAAGATGTTGTATGAGAAAAGGCCCCCAGTGCAAGCAATTAGATTGAATTTGAAATATTACAGGTGTGTGCACCCCCAGAGACAATCAAGTTCTGGTTTTAAAAATGGGGAGAAGGTGTTGGTAAGATAAGCCCTTTTATGTCTGAGGCCCTCAAGGGAAGTGAAGGGATCAAAAATGAAGAAAAAGAAAAGATCTCCAGATCCAGGGTCATGAGGAAGTAGAAGCCTGAACCACTAGAGTCCCTTTATTCAGGAAGATGTCTGCAGTCCAGAAAATGCTACTACTTAGGAATAATGGAAAAGAGGATTGTCAAGAGTAGGTTTGTGTCAGTGGGAGAGTAATAGCAGGAAGAGAAGAACCATCAAGATCTGTATTCTTGGAAATAAATCATCTTGTAGTGTTTTCAACCATTTCTGGAATTTAGAGAATTTGGGGTAATTCATGTGCCCCACTCCCTGATACAGATGATCAACTGGATCAGCCCTTAACCCCCTGCCACCTTCTTTGCCATTTTACCACTGACTATGCTGTAGGAACCTCTCACCTCTCACTAATTTTACAGCTTTCTATAGGAACCAGGGGCTGAGTCATGAATCCCATACGTGGGAGGAAGGACAGAGGTGTGCTGTGAGCTGGTGGAAGAAGGATTCTTCAGGCTAGTAAGAGCTGCCACTTATTGAGCACTCAAGTTTAACTCACACGAATATGGGAGAAGCATTTTTATGTCCCTTTATTATGGGTGAAGAAACGCCAGCTCAAAGAGATCAAGTGATTTGACCTATGCTACCCAGCTATTAGGGGAATCTGAACCATGTCTATGTGGGTCTGTACTGCGAATTCTTAACCACCACCTTACACCTTCTCTTCAGGAGGATAAAAAGATGCAAAACGTGAGAGCTGAGGATCTCCATTCATCCTCACCCACTGCAGCACCTGGCTCAAGACGCAAAATATTTTTCAATAAGAGGGTGAGAGCTGCTCACAGATGTCACATGAGTGCTTCTTTTTGAATGGCCACTTATGCCGTGCCCTGTTAATTCCACTCTCCCTATGACCACAGCCCCCAGCAATACAGTGCAGCTGGGAGTGAAAATGGTGGAAAGCGATGCTGTGTAATTACTGTGCAAGGGACAAAAGGGTAGGCACTGAGGCTGGCAGAGCCATGGGAGCAGAGCCGGCTGGGGAGTGTCACTGGCCAGTTCCTATCCCTGGAAAAGGAAGAATTAGAGATGGCTTCAGATGGGCCAACCCTGAACTCTATTCCTATTAAAAAGCCCATGACCAGGAACTCTGCTCTCAGGCCAGTGGACCGCACTAAATAAATACTGAAAACTGGCAGACATTTGACTAAAGAAGATACACACATCCAATACATCAGTTTAATAACTAAGAAGATGCATTTAAGGACAATGAAATGGATTATGGAAAGAATTAATAAAAACTAAGATTGGGTAAAACTTGCTGCCTTAGGGGCGCCTGGGTGGCTCAGTTGGTTAAGCGTCTGCCTTCAGCTCAGGTCATGATCTCAGGGTCCTGGGATTGAGCCCCGAGTTGGGCTCCCTGCTCAGCGGGGAGTCTGCTTCTCCCTCTGCCGCTCCCCCTGCTGTCTCTCTCCCTCTCTGTCAAATAAATAAATAAATCTTTAAAAAAAAAAAAACCCTTGCTGCCTTAAAAGATCAGTTAACAAAATATACCCATGTACACACATACTGATAGCTCCAACCCCAGTTGGGTAAAATTCCAAATAATTACCCTGAATAATTTAGGGAACTATAGAATAAAGGTTAATTAGGAACTAAGTTATCGACTACTTATTCACTATTCTAAGTGTATGACATGAATTGATTCTTAGTCTTCACAACAGTTCAATGAGATAGGCACATCATCGCCCCCATTTTGTGGGTTAGGAACCTGAGTAACAGCTTCCACTAATTATTCCTGGTCACATAGCCAGTAAGTGGCAGAGCTCTGAGGCCCATGCAGCCTGGATGATACGCAGCGGGGACTCAACCACAGCACCATGCTGCCCATAAAAGAGAGTTGAGTTATAGTAGATTGAGATGGAGACAGAAATTTCTTTTTTATTTTTAAAGATTTTATTTATTTATTTGACACAGAGAGAGAGAGACGTGAGAGAGGGAACACAAGCAGGGGGAGTGGGAGAGGGAGAAGCGGGCTTCCCATGAGCAGGGAGCCCGATGTGGGGCTCGATCCCAGGACCCTGAGATCATGACCTGAGCCGAAGGCAGACGCTTAACGACTGAGCCACCCAGGCGCCCGAGACAGAAATTTCTTAAAGAGCAGGATGGATTAAGAAAAGATTGTAAAGAATCTAAAATATGATCAAGTTTTAAAATCAATATTAGAAATAGCAAACAGTAGATCTAACAAAGCAAGAGAACACATTCAGCAATGTGGAAGACCACTGAAGACTCTTCCCAAATGGGGGGATAAGGAACAAAGACACATATGACGAGGGGAGAGATGATTACATGGATGACATGGAATTGAGAGTCATCATGCAGATTTATTTCTCTCTCTGTAGAAAAGATTATGATAAATTGAACGAATCAATAAGAATGTAAGAGAAGAAAATTCCTGTGCTAAAGGAACATCTGAGCCTGTATAAATGACATTATACACTGGGCAAATGGAGTGAAAAAAGAACAAGACCAAGTGGAAACTTCTAGTGAGATCTTTTAAATTTCATTTTAAAAGATGTAGAAAGGGGCGCCTGGGTGGCTCAGTCATTAAGCGTCTGCCTTCGGCTCAGGTCATGGTCCCAGGGTCCTGGGATCCAGCCCCACATCGGGCTCCCTGCTCCGCGGGAAGCCTGCTTCTCCCTCTCCCACTCCCCCTGCTTGCGTTCCTTCTCTCACTGCGTCTCTCTCTGTCAAATAAATAAATAAAATCTTTAAAAAAAAAAAAGATATAGAAATAATTCTAAGAGAAAATTATTTAGAGAGTCCTTGTATCTCTCATGTGAACTTCCTCTAAAATTTTGCTTAAAGGTCTACTTCAGGCAAAGTACAGATAAAACGAAGAAGTAAGAAACTGAGAGGTGAATAAAATGACCACCCATAAGCATTAAAACCAGTCAGACATCAAACAAATTTTATGCAAATATGGTTTTTAAATAATGCAAATATAAACATTAGATTCTTTCTCAATTAAAAGTTTAAAGATGTATTCAAAGTGAACCACAGATGAATTGAAACAAAGAACTCCAAATTTCAGCCTTGAAACCTCTGGCCCCTCAGGCTATTTCAGAGACTTTGTTCCTAGAGTCCCCTTTGCCTGGATCATTCTTCCACTCTCTCCGCTCTCCCTTCCTTACTAGGTTAGCTCATTCCTAGGTTTCAGGCTGAATGTCAGCTTTTCTCAGAAATTGTTCCAGCCCCACCGCAGCACTTGTCACGTGTAAGTGTTTGCCTCACCCACTCTGCTTAAGCTTCAGGAGAATTGGTGTCTGTCTCCTGACTGTATCATGGCCATTGCCTCACACAGCACCTGCAATGTTCTTGGTATTTAATCAAGATTTGTTAAATGAGTGAATGGATAATTGATTGAATGAGATATGCACTCTCCAAACCCTATAGAAGAATTTTTAAAAATCATCCTCAAATCAACATCAACATGTTACAGGTGAATAACAAATTGTTATATTTGCAGATACGTATTTTCAGAACAAAAATTACTGTTTTATGACTCTAGTTCTCTTAAACATAGTTTTAACACATATGAACAAAACACAGATAACAGTGCAATAATTTTAGATTCTATGATTCCAAAATCAAGTGATTCCTTCTAAATTTATACTGAAGTCTGTGATTATCTCTAAAATTCAATTCTCTTGATAGAACTTCTTCAAATTAGAACCTATAAATGCTTATCCTCTATAAACTCTTCCCTATATTGCTTCGAAATTCTGATCACATTTTATCAGATTTTACTCCCAGATACACCAAATTCCAATTAATAGAATTTCTGTTATTCTAATATCCAAAACCAGAATTAAGTGAGGGATCCAACTTATATTTAAAAGTTTTGGTGGAGTGCCTAGGTGGCTCAGTTGGGTAAACGTCCAACTCTTTGATTTCGGCTCAGGTCATGATCTCAGGGTCGTGAGATCGAGCCCTGCATTGGGCTCTGTGCTTAGCAGGAAATGAAAAGATTGCATGAAATGGACTCAGAGGTTCTGTAATCATACCGAACTTTGCTTTGTGCTCTTATTTCACCTCTTCCCTCTTGCCAGTTCCCCAGGGCATCTACTTTATATGCCGGCTTTATTTTTTCAACAAGTATTTATTGAGTGGCCACTATGTGCCAGGAAGCTTGCTAGGCACTAGAAATATAGAAGTTTAGGAAAAATATGGTTCTTGTTCACATAAACCTTACAGCTTAGTGCACAAGATGGACATTCAGCAATCAGAAGTTTTATACATTGTGATGATCTTGAGAAGGAAAAACCTCATCTTGCTCTTTGGGTTATAACAGGTGACCTAATTTAGATTGGAGGCATCAAGGAGACCACATGAAAAAGTTGCATTTAAAGTGAGGAATAGAAGGAAGCTCATCCCAGGCTTCCGAGGGTACAGCACAGAATATGGAATAGCCCTGAGGAGGCAGAGGTGGACAAGTTCAAGGAACTGAAAGGAAAACAACGTGGCTGAGGTATTGCATGTAAAGGGTGTAGGCACGAGTGACAGGGTCTTCCCTAGACCATTGGGGATGTTGGATTTTATTGTATGTGCAGGGAGTTCACTGGGTAGGGACACTGACCCCGAAGTTAGAATACCCCTCCACCATTCACTAGCTCTGTGATCTTGAGCAGTTTCTTCATTTAGAAGATTAGATAAATCTATGTAAATAAAGCACTAAGAACAGTGCCCACTGCAGGGCACTATGCAGTGTTTGTTGTTTTTGTTTGCATCATCCTTCCTGGCTTCAGGACACTGAACAGCTGAGAGGAAGGAGCACCTCACTCAAAACACTAGGATGGGTTTTGGGGCACATCTCTTCCTTTACACACTAGTTCTACAGTAAAGTGAGGGAATCTTAAAGGGAACTGTGATGACTGAATTGTTATACTAAAACAAAAAGGTACTCAGTGAACAGAAAGGTGCTCTTGAATCTTCTCTGATTTTTTAAAAAATATTTTATTTATTTATTTTAGAAAGAGAGGGAGCATGCATGGGGCGAGGGGGAGAGGGAGAGAATCTCAAGCAGACTCCCCACTGAGCACAGAGCCCCAGAGGGCTCGATCTCACAACCCTGAGATCATGACTATGATTTTTGAAATTAAATGGATGTTGTGATATTGGAAAAACACTTAAGAATTCTTGCTTTGGAGGTGTCATCATTTAACTCAAGAAGATGAAAATGGCTTCCATCTAAGTTTTCTTTAAAATGCATATGCATTGAGTATACCATCATTTCTAGCTCTCTTTCCCCTTTCCCCAACAGGGAATCTTCTAGAACCTCTATAATCACCAAACTTTACTGTTTTTCTTTGCAATTTAGAAACCTCAGCAAGTAAACTTCTCATGTGAGTAACTAAGATCTGCAAACAAAAAACAAAGCTTTAGTTAAAAATCAACTGTTTCAATGGAGGACGTCCTATGATTTACTTTTGTCCACTGTCCTTTGCTTCAATTCTTTTTGTTTAAGATTTTATTTATTTATCAGAGAGAGAGAGACAGAGGCAGGCAGAGGGAGGAGCAGGTTCCTTGCTGAGCAAGGAGCCCGATGTGGGACTCGAGCCCGATGTGGGACTCGATACCAGGACCCTGGGATCATGACCTGATCCTTTGCTTCAATTCTTAATTTTGCGAGGATCTCTTGGAGTTTTAATATGTCTTTTCTTTTCATCAAATGAAAACTCAAACTTAATGTTCTTAAATTTGCCTACATTTTCATATAATATTTAATTATCTCTTATTTCACGATTCCAGTACACGGCACTGAGGACACAAAAAAGTAGTAAGACCTGAGTTATCCCCTTAAAAAGAGGATGGCAAGCGATGAACAAGCAAACACAGTGGAGGAACTAGGAGGAAAAAAAATTAAAGGCTGGGAAGCACAGACGAGGATAAAATATCAATGGATAAAAGGGAAATCAGAGTAGTAAACACCAGACACTACTTTATAAAGTTAATTTGTAACTTTAAGTTCACTGATGTTCCCCAGGGATATAGTTTATCAATAGATGGTTTAATGGGATGGTTTATCTCTAGACTAAAATAGCAGTACTTCATTAAAATTAAAATAAGAGTTTATAAATTTAAGTCATTCATTCATTTATCTACTGTCCATTTCCAGCTTCTCCTAGGACATTGAAATGGGGTCTAATTTGCTAACAGGCTGTTTTTTGTTTGTTTGTTTGTTTTTGGTGTTTTTTTTAAGATTTTATTTATTTATTTGACAGAGAGAGACACAGCGAAAGAAGGAACACAAGCAGGGGGAGTGGGAGAGGGAGAAGCAGGCTTCCCGTGGAGCAGGGAGCCCGATGCAGGGCTGGATCCCAAGACCCTGGGATCATGACCTGAGCCGAAGGCAGACGCTTAATGACTGAGCCACCCAGGCGCCCCGCTAACAGGCTGTTTTAACAAGGATACAAACTGGATTCTCTGAAAGTGTTCCACATTTTATTTCCCCCTATAAACATTTACTTAATGGGCTTTTGAAATGAAGAGTCCTTTTCAAGCTTCTCTATTTCTCTTTCTGCATTTTTCCTATGAGATAAATAAGCTTTTCTCTGATTATGGATAGATCCTACAAAACCTCAGTCCCATTAATAGCTGTCCCTCTGCCATCAAGCATGGCAACATAATGACAAACCCGGTGATGCATTAAGTTACAGAAAACAAAATGAGAAATGTGAGAAAGTGGAGAACAAAGACCAAAAAAAATTTTAGTTAAAAACTGTGCTGCTGCATTACTTACAAGGGATTTAACAGTTAATATGGGAACATAAGTCCTCTTTTTAAGATGTTTATAATCTTGAATTAATACAAGTATAATTTCTTCATTAAATCATGGAGAAGCTAATGAGATAAAATCTTCAAGGGAAGTCAAGAACAAACATTTTGGGGGGTTGTGTCAGACACAAAGAAGTGTAACTTTGTTTTCTTTCACAATACACATGTAATACGTAGGTGAAATACTACAGACATAAAAGGTCCTCGCATTGTTTACTCCAGTCTTTTTCCCATGACCTATCAGACAGGATTCTGCGGGGTATGTTTCCATATGGAATCATCTTAACTCCTTGGGGACGGCATGCCAAGTAAGAGCTTTAGTCAATGCTTTATAATGAATCATACTATCATTTTTCACTCTCTTAGTAATTCCCCTGTTCTCTGGCTATTTGCTTCCTCCTCCTGACCTACTACCAAGTGATCAGAACATTGAAGTGGAGCTCTAACATAATGGATGTAAAGGGGGAAGAGTTTTAGGACCTTCCAGCTGCCTGAACATGTAAATGTTCACAGATATTCTGAAGCCCCAGAACTGAACCCATGTGCTAGCTCATTAAAGGGAGGGTATGTGCTTTCTGCATGGATCTCAGTGTCAGCCATGAATATGGATATGATCCCCAGCCCAGACTCTCCTAACAGCTATTGCTGTAATATGAGTCTCCTAAACCTTTGTAGAACAAAGTGAGAGGCACACTTTCTCTTGGTTTTAGCAGCAGTTTAATTATGCATCCTTTTTCTTTCTTTCCATGACACAGGGTTTTAACACTTACCCCAATAGCTGCTAAGATTGGGGCTTGGTAAATCCACTTGATGTTTCCAGCACTAAGTTCCCAGCATCTGAGACATGAAAAAAACTTTCATGAATAAATTGGCAAAGCAAATAGGCAGTGAGAATTAAGTAGCATTTTAAGTTTTACTGAACATTCCAGTCCCAAGCTTTTGATTAAAAAATAAGTAGACAAAAACAAATCTCATAAAACACTCAACCCAGTAAAAAAAAAAAAAAAAAAATGTGTAATGGGTCCTGGTTTCTGTACTATTAGCTATAGAGTATTATAAATATTGTTTATTTTTATAGCAATAAGATTCAAAACCACATTTCCAGAGCCACAAAAAATCACTCTCTTTTAAATGTGGTGCACATGGGGGTGCCTGAGTGGCTCAGTTGGTTGAGAGTCCCACTCTTGGTTTTGGCTTAGGGTTATGGGACAGATCCCCACGTCAGGCTCCCCGCTCAGTGGGGAGTGTGCTTCCCCTGTCCCTCTCCCTCTGCCCCTCCCCCCCATTCTCTCTCTCTCTCTCTGAGATAATCCTAAATAAATAAATGAATGAATGTGGTGCACCTGATACTTCATTTTTCGTATCACTGGAAAGATAAAGTCCTCTTACTTCCAGAAGTTCCAGCGATTTTATGTTATACCTCCACATACTGTAGAATACTGACAATAATGCAAATCATTCTTATCCATCGAAATGCAATAGAAAGCTGACAGTAATGCAAATGATTCCTGTTGGTAGAAATGCAACAGAAAACTAGATGCAAATGATTTTTGTGCATAGAAATGAAAACTAGTTGTGTTCAGTGGAATGTGATTGATCATTGCCTTATGAATACTGAATTGTTGCATGTATTTATAAATTTATTTCAGTATTCATTTTGCTAAACACAGGTATGTGATTTATTTCTTCTTTGAACAAGTTATAACATCTTACTGCTTCCCTCCATAATTAGTGAGTTAAAATATCTTTGACAAGTGCTCATTTTATATCTGCATAAAATCCATGATTTTATCTTTAACTTTAAAAGTTCATTTTTAACAGTACTTAATAAAAACACTATATAATTTACCTATTTGTTATGTTTATCTTCTGCTTCACTCCCACCCCAGCTAGAATTTAGTTTCTACATGAACAGGGATCATTGTTATTTTCTGATGTATTATAAGTGCCTAGAATAATACAGAACATATAGGTAGTCAACAAATATTTGTTGGATTGAACTGAATTCAAAATAAGTTTGATCCAATCTCACTCAAACTGGTTTGGAACAGTGTTGAGAAAAACTAGTTTCACTTGAAACTTTAATGTAGCACTTTAAGCAGTTTTTATACATTAAAGATACATAAATAAAAGCCTCAGTTTCTTTCTCCTTAGACAAAACCTAGCATTGATTGTGGGGACAATAAATGAAATTTTATAAAGAAATTTTAGGGATGGGACGCCTGGGTGGCTCAGTCGTTAAGCATCTGCCTTCGGCTCAGGTCATGATCCCAGGATCCTGGGGTCGCGCCCCACGTGGGGCTCCTTGCTCTGTGGGAAGCCTGCTTCTACCTCCCCTACTCCCCCTGCTTGTGTTCCCTCTCTCACTGTGTCTCTCTTTGTCAAATAAATAAATAAAAATCTTTTAAAAAAAAAAGAAATTTTAGGGATATAATGATAATTATTTAATTTTAGATGATAAATTTATCAATAAGTTACTTTTAAATTAATGAACAAATTCGGGATAATAAAAAGCTATTTCAACTATTCCTTGAAGGTAGAACATTTTCAGTACATACGTAATGACTATATTATGTTTACATTTTAATATTTTTATGTAGGCAATACATTCTCATTTCAAAAATCAAACTGTATAAAAAGACAGTCATTGAGACATCTCAGTCCTTCCCATGTTCCTATCTTCCTCTGCCCCTGCCTCTCTCCTTATAGGTAACATCTTTTATTGCTTTATTTTATATGCTTCCAGTGTTTTCTTATGCATATACAAATACAGATATTATAATCTTATTTTCCCTTACCCTACAAAAAATGCAATGTATACTCTGTTCTGCAACTGGCTCTTTCCTTTCAACAGGATATTTTTTATTCCTTTCCATATCAATACCAAGACTGCTCAGTACACAGCATTCCATTGGAAGGATGTACCACAGTTGAATCAACTAGACCTCAAGACCAAAGTGTAATTCCGGCCCCACCACATTGAAATCTGCAAAGTCAATGGACTTGAAGTTTGCATAACATGGAAATATCAAAGACAGGGAAAGTTTGCACTTGCACATTATTAAACATTTCCTAGCATTATTTGCACACGTCTATTCTTCACATTATTCAACCAGACAAGAAGGATAAAAGAGTGTTCCTGAGTTGTGCAGAACATCTATCACACTACCCTAAAAAGGTTTTCCACTATATGGAAAGTGGCATATTTTACTGTATGAATATAAATTGAATACAGATTCACTAGCTACGAGACACCTGGATTCTGTAAATTTTCTTTTTGCTTTTACATTTGGTAGTATCTTCACAATCTTCTTTCTTTGCCTCAGTAACATTTCATCATTGTGTCTCCTAACACACTGCAACTCAATTGCACAATTCCAGCTCTGCAAAATACTTTGGAAATAGGTCAAAACCAGCTACCTCTAAAAACTAGAAAAACTTGCCTTTGATAGTTTTCAACGTCAAAGCTTCAAATTTGCCCTTTGATATGAAAGGCAACTGAGATTTCAGATTCTTTTTTAAGAAAATGCTATTAATCCTTGTCTTTCATTAATTCTTCCCTGTCCCATCTCACACTGTGTTTGTTAACAAGGCTCAGAAACTACCCTCTATTCAGACTTTGTAAATGAAATTTTAACACTCTAGAAAATGGAGAAATGAATGTCAGTAAAAATGCAGTTGTGAAAGTTGAGGATGAGGCACAGAGGTCTGCCTAGAAAATAGAACTTTGTCAGTCAGGATTAGGAATAGGAAATGCATTATTCTGCAGGAGAGATCCAGGGAAATGAACACTGCATTGTGTCTGTAACTCACAATGTGAGAAGAGGAAGTACAGAAGCCCTGAGAGCCATGCAGATTTCCTAGAAATGACAGAGGCTATCTTTTCTTGGTCTTTTGTATTATGGGACCCACCCTTCCTGCTGGCGTTCCATTTCCTTTGCATGAGCAGGGAGAAGGTGATAAGGTATCATATAGGGTGTTTTGCTTTTGCAAGTAAAAAGAAAGAGAAACAAAAATACCCACTTTTTAAAGCTCATTTGTCCAATTGAAACTATTCAACTTTCTTACCCTACCTTAGCCAAGTAACTTTTTTTTTAATTTTTTTTTTTTAAGATTTTATTTATTTGCGAGAGAGAGAATGAGAGACAGAGAGCATGAGAGGGAGGAGGATCAGAGGGAGAAGCAGACTCCCTGCTGAGCAGGGAGCCTGATGTGGGACTCGATCCCGGGACTCCAGGATCATGACCTGAGCCGAAGGCAGTCGCTTAACCAACTGAGCGACCCAGGCGCTCTAGCCAAGTAACTTTTGATAGAATTTTAGAACTGTAAGACTTCCTTTGTATATTCAATAGCATTTAGAGTGTCTTCCAAAGCTGGATCTGATTTGCTTAACTCTAAATGGCCAAGTGCAGAGAAAATCAGAGTTAGACTTTGAAAGGCCAAATCAGAAAAAGAAGAATCTCAAATATAAGAGATAGGACAGAGACCCCAAATTCCTTTGGAGATGCTCCAAGCTCTCTCTCTACCTGAACTTTGTGACAGAGGACTATATGTAGGTCAGATTACTATCAAGAAAACCCTCAAAAATGTAAAAGCAAAAAGAAAATTTACAGAATCCAGGAGTCTCGTAGCTAGTGAATCTAGAGACAAGCTGAATTCCATGAAAAATCAAATTAGGCAATTTTGAAATCATGCCATGTATGTGATAATACAGTTTTATTTTATATGCAAAATAAATATAAAATGACCCCTTAACCCAATTATCATGCTCAGATCAGGACACTATAGAATTCAAGATTTTATTGAGTTTGTAGGAATAAATGTTTTGTACAGAGGAGTCACATGATCTAACATATTTAATTTTTTTACATTAATTCAACTGTTTTAGAGCAATATTCAATGTCAGTTGCATTTTTTAAATATTATGTAGCAAAGGATTCTTTGCCTCAAAAATAAACTTTTTTCCTTGAAAAATAATAATTTTTTCCTTGAAAATACATATGACTATTAATGGTTTATGATTTAGTTTATAATTTTCAAGAAATAATACAAGATAACTAAGAAAACTATCTAATTCAATATAAAATGCATTGTGAATATATTTGCTTGCATTCTGTGCTCAAGGCCTGGAATGTCTGTTGAATGGGTGAATGAGTCAAAATTGCTACAGGCTACGAAGATGCAACCTGATATCTCTGGGTCTCATTTTATTCATCTCTCAAATGAGGGGATTAAACCAAAAAATGCCTTAGGATTTACCTTCTCTAAAATTCCAAGTCTAAGTTATATGGTTCCACATCTCAGGGTAAAATCATTTAGCATTATCTAGTACCTCTTTACAGACTCAACCCACACCCCCAAGAAATCAAATAGCAGACAGTATAAGTCTTCTTTGACATTTCCAGTATCATTGTACACGTATAGCAATGATGATAATGTTGATAACATTAACCCTAAATTATTAACATAATGTTTGTATAGAAGTTGGAGTTTATAAAGTCGTTTCATAAATGGGCTCTTACCTGATTTTCAAATCTACCCCCTGCAGACTCAATCTTATTCATAGCCATGAATATTCTCGTTTTACCAATGGGAAGGCTGAGACTGAGGGAAACTGCCACAATTAATGAATGGATGAGGAAATACATTTCCTAGTAGCTCACGACTTGCACTGAGTCAAACTTTATCTTTGCTCAATAGACACTTAGCAAATAGAGGAAAGTGGCAAAATAGATCCATAAGAACTGATCAGCAAGCATTGGACAGTTCTCTATTGTAAAAACAGAGAATTTCACTCCTGTCCATTTGTAATTCATAGTTGTTGGTTTTTTAATCCGACAATTACACATGAAGTCAAGAGAAATAAGATAGTATGTAAGAAAGAGATAATTATGAAATCTACATACAAAATGCTACAGGAATTTGATAAAGAAGATTTTACATGGGGGGACAGAGCATTTGAAACACACCGAAATGGCAGAGTACCTATGGTTATGGCTTTACTTTCTGAACACCATGAAACGCAGATATAATTTTCTCATGTGAATGAGAAGAACATGTGCTAGCAGACAATATTGTATGTATGCTTACAGGCAATATGCATGCACAAGCTTGAGCTCCTATCTCAGTAAAAACTGTGAACTATTGAAAAGTCCATGACAGGTGATGGACTATTTCTGATTAAGAGAATAGGAAGAACTACAAGTGGTAGAAGGACAAAGCATAGATATAATGAAGGTAAGAAAAACTGTCCAGTGTACAATGGGCATTGTCCACCGTGTACTCCTCGTTATCAGGGGTGTTTAAGCAACTGAAGGGTGAGCAGCTGTCAGTGATACTGTAAAAGGAATCCCTCTATAACACTCCTCCTCCACAGAAAATAAATACCTCTGATTTTAATAGAAACCTCTAGTCTGCCCATAGTGTTTATTGAGTGCCTCTGGAGCCCAGCTGTCTAGACAAATTCCTTCTCTACCACTTGTGGCTGTGCAATGCCAGGTACCCTTCTTCTGGCCTCAGTCTCATAGGGTTGATAGGAAGTGCAATTAAATTAATATTTGCAGAACCCTCAGAAAGTGGAATGTGGGTATCATTCAAAAATGCTAGCTTCATCTTTATTATTACTTTTCTCCAATTTTTCCTCCACATGCTGGTAATGATCTGTATAAAATGCAAATTTGTTGTCATTATCACTGAAAAATACCCCAACCATCCTAGTATGACCTATAAAGGTCTGGAAGCTCTGGCCCGCATCTCTTCTCCAGCCTCACTTTTAAGCTCTAACTTTAGCAGAATCAAGGCTCCACTGACTTGATAGGATAAACATCAAATCAGCTAGGATCAATGAAAGGGTAAGTCCTGCTTTCTGATGGAATAACAATAAACAAAAACATTATTTTTGATCAGACATTATGTATAGGTATAAATTTATGAAATAATTAAAGGACTAATACTTGCTACTAAGTACTTAGTACTTACTATTCCAAACCCTATAGTGTTTTATGTACATTATCTCATTCAATCTTACAACACCCCTATGAAGAGTAATATTCGTTTTATCTGCATTTGATCAATGAGAAAATCAAGGCTCAGAGAGGTCAGGTAGTGCATCTGTTGTCAGAGAACCAAGAAGTAGCAGAACAGGCCTGTGAGTTACCTGCACCTGAGCTCTTTCTCATCATGTTCCCAATTAGTGCCTACTAGCGGCCAGGCTCTGTGCCGTGTTTTCTCTGTATTAATGTCATTTATACATTATTATCACTGTTTTATATTAAGAAATGGACATACAAAGAGATCATGTGTGTTTCCCATGGTCTCAAAACTAATAGCTGAACCCAAGATTTGAACTCAGGTCTGCCTAAGTCTAAAAAAGCATCTTTTACTATCACCCGGCATCACAGCCCTGTACCTTAAAATGCTGCTTTAGGGGTGCCTGGGCGGCTCAGTCAGGAAAGTGTCTGCCTTGGGTTCAGGTTGTGATCCCAAGATCCTGGGATTGAGCACCGTGTTGGGATTGAGTGCCACAGAGCAGGGAGCCTGCTTCTCCTTCTCCCGCCTGCTTGTGTTCTCTCTCGCTGTCTCTGTCTCTCTCTCTCTCAAATAAATAAAATCTTTAAAAATAAATAAAATAAAATGCTGCTTTTGATAAGGAAAATCTGAGTCCTAAGATGGCTGACCGAGCCAGCAAGAGAGTCCCAGTCCTTGCTCGGCGCTCTTCCAGGTTCTTCTCCCTGCTCTGCTTCCCACGCGCACCAATCCAGGCCCTTCTCCCTGCCCCGCTTTGTGCACGCACCAGAAGTGCCAAGTATGCAAAAGTAGAAGTGTATAAATTGCCCCTTTTGTGCTCGGGGCTCAGACCTTTGGAGATCACTCTCCTCTGAGCCCGCCGGCATCAAATAAACCTCCTATCCTCCAAGATCTCCGGGTGCCGCTTGGTTCTTCTGTCAGGCAATACAGTCCAGGTTCAACCCCAGGCTACTTGAAAATCCTAGTGAATCACTAGGATGGATTCCACTTCTAATGCGCATTTGTTTTTGGTTTTTTTTGTTTTTTTTTTTTTTAAAGATTTTATTTATTATTTATTTGAGACAGAGAGAATGAGAGACAGAGAGCATGAGAGGGAGGAGGGTCAGAGGGAGAAG